GCTAGATTTCAGAGTCAACCTAAAGAAAGTTACCTAACAGCTGTTAAAAGAATCTTTCGATATCTTAAAGGGTCTCATGATCTTGGATTATGGTATCCTAAATCTGAGGCTTTGTCACTGATAGGATACTCTGACTCTGACTTTGCTGGAAGCATTACTGACAAAAAGAGTACTAGTGGCACCTGTCAATTCTTTGGGGGTCTCTAGTGTCTTGGTCAAGTAAAAAGCAAGGGTTTGTAGCCTTGTCAACAGCTGAAGCAGAATACATCGCTGCTCGCAGCTGTTGTACACAAATCCTTTGGTTAAAATCTCAATTAGCTGATTATGGAATATGTTTTGAAAAAATCCCAATTCTTTGTGACAATACAAGTGCCATTTGCATGTCTAAGAATCTAGTTCACCACAGTAGAACAAAACACATTGAAGTCAAACATCATTTCATCAGAGATATAATCCAAGCTGGTCTTGTAGAATTAAATTTCATATCTACAGACTTCCAAATTGCTGATATTTTTACAAAAGCACTATCATCTGAAAGATTCATATGACTATGTGATGAACTCGGACTACAGTCCCTTCGCTCAATTCAGAATGGCAACTGAACCAGGTACTATCGTTTCTTGCTCCCTTTTTCTTTCAATAAATGTTTTGCCTTCAATAAAATTGCTTGTGTGATGATTAGAAATTCGTGAATGTGGTTTTTGATTTCCCCATGCATTGATAAACATCTACATTGGTCTCTGCTATAGTCAATAGTCTTCGTAATTATGAATAATGGCTCTTAGAATTCCGCCCTTTCTATATATATATGACCTCTTCCTAGGCTCTTCGGTCACATCATAATCTGCTTCTTCTACAAAAAAAAAAAAAATTCATCAGGACTGAGCTATTCACCTCTTCTAACATTCCTGGGGAAATAGTCACCTATGTTGGGAGAACTTTCATTGAACCCATAGATTCAAGAAGTTCTTTGCTTCTCGCAAACTCTCTGATCCCATCTCTCTTGATCTTTACGAATTCAAAGCCTTAGGAGTCGACATCACTCCCTACATTAGGAACCTGGGTTGGGAATTTCTCCTCCACTTGCTGCTTGCCCCCTCCCTGTCAGAACATTCTATGCAAACCTCGACTGTCAAGGAATCACCACCAGAAGACTAACCACTCTAGTGAATGGATATTTCATTTCACTCACTGCTGAGGCCATTGGTATCCTACTTAACCTTCCAACTGAAGGAATTCTCCCTCTGACCCATGAGGATGAATTTCTCTTCTATGAGTTTGACCATGTGATTGAGTACTCTCGCATTACTCAGCGTAGAGTTGCTGCCAATGAAATCATCACCTCAGCAGATCTGAACCCCACACTTCGCACCCTCCACTACTTTGTCACTAATTTCTTTCTACCTCGGTCTCATGGACATCACATTGTTACCAAACTCGATCTCTGGGTGCTTTCTAATGCCCTCACTGGGCCCAAAATTGTTTACTCACAACTCTTGTTTGGTCTTTGGTTCGAAGTGCTTATTCACATCTCGATGGTCGCCTTCCTTATGGAGGCTTCATCACTCTGTTACTATCCAATCTCGGGCTATCCCTTGATGGATACTCTTCTATCGAGACCTTTGTCTCTGTATCAGCCCTTACGGTCCTCAACTATTTAGGAGTTGAGCCTCAGCCTTCGAAAGGGGGAGAATCATTTGACCCAGCTGCTGCCAGGCTCATCAAAAATAAGTCTAAATCCTTGCTTCATGAGGACTCATCCTCATCTATTCGAAAGAATCTGATTGTGTCATTCGAAGAAGAAGAAGCTAAACCTGAACCTGAGACTATATCTGAATAAGATGTAAGATTGTTTGCTGAAGAGCTTGAAAGAGATATGATTGAAGGTGCAGCTGTGACTCAGGGGGAAGATGTGGCTGCTACTCAGGAGGAGGATGAGATGGAGGGAGTAATTGGATCTCAGGAGGAGCCAAATGAAAAATCTGTGCCAGAAGACTGATATGGATATGCTTCATGAGTCTCCATTTAAAAGTTTGCGTTGTGATCTTCTGTTTTTCTAAAGACCATAATGGTCTAAGTGTGTTTTAAAGACCATAATGGTCTAAGTATGATGTCTGTCTTCAATTCAAAGACCATAATGGTCTATACAAAATTATTGACAATACATTGCTCTGAAAAATAGTCTTAATGTCTCTAAGTGCATTGTCTTAACTATTTTGCTGAGAAATCGTATCATATGAACAACTTCTAACTGATTATTACAAATCTTCACTCTTGATGCTTTGATGATGATGTTTACATTGACAGGAATGAAGGCTCAACGCAGGGGGAGATTGTTGGGCCGTGGCCCAGTGATTGTCTCGACGGTTCGGACCAGCAAACCTCGTCACTCAAAGCCCACTCCACAGAATGACCTTCGTCGAGATCACCAAGAGCGTCTTCACCTCCATTCCAATCCCTAAACACCAGAGCTACAGGAAGATGCACCTGCAACGATTAAAGACTTGGTCAATTCAAGTCTGTTCCAACGGCACCATCATTGAAGAAGAGAGAGACTGAATCCTGCTTCAGCAGCCTACTTAAGGAAGACTCAATGAAGGATTCGAGTAACGGTTTCCTTTCTTAGTAAGCGCGGGGATAGCTCTTTGGGAGAACAGGTTAGAGTTCGGATTAAGTGTCTGGAGAGGTTGAGTTGGGGCTTTCAGCCAGGAACTCAACCTTAATCAGGCGTAACTCCCTTTCTGTTTCTTCCCTCTTCTATTCCCTGTCTTTCCTTTGTGAGAATTATCATTGAACAATTGATCGAAATCCGATTAGGTTTTTCCCAATGTTATTCTTGTATTCGAATACAATTGAATTGAACTAAAGCGTGTGCCTTTTGATAACTTGCCTAGAAGGAATGAATTAGTAGACACTGGTATTTAACAGCGTCCACCCCGGATAAAAAAGAACCATCCCACCAGCCGAGTGTGACCCCCTCCTAGTGGCCCCATCCCACATGCAAACCAGACGAGAATCAACCACTTGGGTCCCTGGTTGAACCACCGGGCAGGATATCCTCGTCGACTGGTCAACCGGCAGACCCACCCATTCCTCGTACTGCTGGTGAAATTGGCGCCTTAAAGGCTGAATCCCAAACTGTTTTCCTTCAAAGACAACCCAGTTCCGCGATCGCCAGATCCGCCAAAGGATGGCAACCACAACCATAAACAGCGACGAGTGATGGACAAGGGCGAGCATCCGCTTAAGAAACAACGGAAACCTGTGCCGAGGCAAACCCTCCCCTAAATAGTCCAATCCCGAGTAGACCCAGAGAGCCCGCGCGACCAGACAGTAAAGAAGCATGTGCTCCGCTTAAGAAAAATATGAAAAATATAAAAAATTAACATCAAATAAATGTAATCACATATAAAACATATTTGAAGATAATTTACTTACGAACAATATTCATATTAGCCAGACCTTTTTTAAATTCCTTTTTATTAGCCAAACTTATCGAAATACTAAAAAGTAGCCAAACGTTTTGTAACTCGTCCAAGAAGCAGTATCCGAGTCCTTGGTGGTTATTTGTTGTGATGATGAGGTTGTTCATGGATGTGAAGGTGGTAAGTTCTGCACCTATCTTGTTTGTCGGAATGGCTTACTTTCAGTTTCAACCTTCAAAGAACTCGTCATGCCATAGTAGTCAGCACAGGGACATGGTGGATGAGATTGGAGCAGGGGTGTCATTCGCAATAGTAACGGAGATTGGATTAATGGTTTTGTCTGCAGAATTGGAGCTGGATCAGCGATTATGGCGGGGCTTTGGGGCATCCTAAAGGGCATCAATCTGGCTAGAAGGATGGGAATCGAGTTCCTTATCATTGAATCTGATTACCGCTTGGCCCTTGATCTAATTCAGCAACCTCATGATACGACCCACCTCCATGCTAGCATCAATTTAGGGATGGCAATGGGGCGGGTTTGCCTAAACCATCCCCATACCCATCTTCAAATATCCAAACCCATACCCACCTCATACCCATGCAGGGAATGTTTTGCAAACCCATCCCCATACCCGTGGGTTTCGGGTACCAATGGGTAATACCCATACCCGTACATCCAACATTATTATACCTAAAACTTACAAGAATTTTTTTAATTATAACTCTAAACGAACATATTATATCATGAAGTCAACAAAACACGACCATTTCTTTTATATGGTTCAAAGAATATGATCCTAAAATATCCATTAATACATAATAAAGAGTATAATATTTTTCAAATTATTATGTTCTAACTCTGATACATCTACTAAATAATAATTAACTAACATAATCTTGTTGACAAGATGGGAAGTGAAAGAGTGAAATGAGAATTGAGAGAAATGAATAAGGTTTTGATTAAGGTGTCCACTCAATTGCATTTCTACTATTTATTTTCTCAAGTTATCCGCATCAATCATTGATATATTATAATTTGACGAACATATTTTTTTATATATGAAGAAATTATCTTGATGGGGCGGGTATGGGGATGGGTATAGGGCGGGGGAGGCTAAAACCATACCCGCCCCATACCCATCAAACTTTTTGCTGGTTTTACCCATACCCGCCCATACCTGGTCAAAACAGGGATTCCCTGCGTTGACTGGGTCGGGGGCGGTCGGATACCCACGGTCATGGGTTTGATTGCCATCTCTAAGCATCATTGCAGATATTCGGAGAACTCTCGCACAGAACTGGGTGGTTCAACTAGTCCATTCATACCGGGAAGGGAATAAAGTCGCGGACTGGCTCTCGAAGCACAGTCTCGTCTATCCCTTTGGTATGCATGAATTAGATAATTCACCCATGGCGCTAAGAGCAATTCTCAGAGAAGATGTTATGGGAGTTAGTACACCTCGTATGGTGATTAGACAGGAGAGTTGAGAGCTTCTCCCTTCTCCCTTGTGATGTTCTGAGTCTTTGTTGTTCTCTCGGTTGTTCCACAACCTCCATTCAATAAAAAAAAAAAAAAACCAGTGAGGGATTTCTTCTTGTGTTTCTCACTTCATCTTTCATTAGAGAAGCTAAGAAAGAAAAGAAAACATGTCGGATATAAGCTCGACCAAGCTTCCTATACAGTGTTCATATTCCTGATCCAGAACCAGAAGAGTTGAAGAAGAAGAAACCGCAAAATAGATTAATAATGGCACAAGGTTATAGCCTTATAGGGGCAATTGTTTAGCTACTATAATCTGTGGACAAATGGTAGCATACCACACCATTAAGTATACGAGCCTTCCTTTATCTTTATCTTTTTCTTCTTTGTAGTTCTCCCCTCGTGATTGGAAGGAAGGCCAGACTTCTTCTTTTCCAAGTACAACGTCAAAAGAGCAGAAGATTCAGGGTAAGGAAGAACATACTTCTCCAGGAATGTCTTTTCGCTGATGAGAAAGACTGACCACCTCGGAGAAGCTCGGTCATGAGGTAGCAAACCTTCCGAATCCAGAAACAGCAGAACAAAAGCTCGTGGCAGGAGTCTCTTCTGCAGGCTATATGTAAAGACGATCGGGTACTTGGCAACAAAGGATGACTCCCACCCTAGCTTGTTCACAAACAGATCCATCAGCCCATCTATCTTCTTCTCAGATACCCTAAAGCAATTAGGCCATCTTCTAAACGCTTCAAGAGCCTGCTCCTGGGACCAACCCCATTTTGCATACACAGCAAGCTTCTGTTTCCAAGTAGAAATGGTAACACTCGAGAGCAAGACAACTGCAACAACGAAAATGCACTTGGTTGGGTCGATCCCCATGGCTACCACTTCATCCACAACCCTCTGGAACTTGCCAGGGATCCATCGTATCGTCCAGTACTGGCGGACAAACAGCGTGATGGCCCTTTCCGGGGTTCCAGCATCTCGTAGGGTCTGAAGTAAAGGGGGAGCTTGTCGATGAATGGTGGTTGTCAGCGTACGTGGGCGCCTCTTGATGGCTGCAACAGCTTCCTCTCTGGACTTGTAATGGTCTCTGAAGAACTCGAAGCAAGGGACCAACTGGTTTTTCAAGCTCGCCGTCAAAATTCGAGGGGAGGATGACACGAACTCGGCGACATCAGGGTCCGATAAGTCCAAGGAGCGCAAGAACTGTAGCTTGGGCAAAAGGGTCTTTGTTGGTTGTGCCATAAGCACCTGCGGGCATCCCTTCACGACGTTCGAAATCTGCGATTCCGAGAAATGTTGCTCCCTGAGGAAACGAAGCACTGAATTGGGCTGCTCTGGGGTTTGGAATTTGACGTATTTGGACAGTGCAGATGCCCTGTTCGATGAAATGCCGAACTGGCTCACAAGGTACGAAACCGTGAAGGAGCGTTCCTTGTTAATCGACGAGCTTGAGAGGTGCCGGAGGAGCGAGGACGGGAAATCACGTCGAAGAGGAATTCTGTAAATCGTGAACATTCCATTCCTAAGCCCTACTCTCATCGCCAGCAGCTCAATCATTTGTCCCAAATCAAAGAAAGAAGTGAGGAGCTAACCGGAGAATTAGGAACCTTGTTATCTGCCAGGGCTCACCGCTGCTTTCCTTCTGCTTCTTCTTCTTCTCCGTCGCATTTACAGAACGAAACAAAACCCTCGCTGGCGCCGTGACGGTGTTGCCGTCTCCCCAGTTAGCCTTCAGCGGAGTGGAGTGGAGTCCGTTGAGGCCGGAACTTGGGCCCGCCCAATAATCTAAACCGGCCCGAATAGAGCTTAATTGATAAATACACAGAAAAGTGGGGTTCTTTTGCAAGAAAGAGAAATTTTGATGGTTAAAAGAAGAAAAGTCTTGGAACTGGAAAAAGCGAGGAGAAATCCGACGACCATCAATCGCATTTTTTTTGTTGCAAACTAAAAGAACATTTCTCCACTGAAAAGCTTAGCAGAGAAATCGTTCGAAGTGAAATCTCTGGAAGTGAGCTCTCGAACAAATTCTAGGATTTTGGCCAACTTGTTGGAAACGGTAATTGAAACTCTTCAGTCGAACAACTCGTCATTGCAGGCGGATTTGTGTGGTGGCGCCATGTACAGTGGTTCCAGCGACGGCGAGGGTCACGATGCGCAGAGAAAGATCCCACCGCCGTCGTCCATGCTATGGGTGCGAAATCTCCGAAGATATATTGGATCCGGCGCCGGACTCGGATCCGAAGCTCTAATGGGTGAGTTTTTGTTTTGCGGTTCTCGCTCATTTCTTCGGCGATTTGAGGTTATCCTTGGGTCGTGGAAGCTTAGTTATGGATGCCAAGGAATTAGTATGTAGAATGATTTGCAGGCCGCTGAATGTGAAGCGATTTTTCTTCTCTTTGTTGTAGAGCTTGAGACGAAGAGAATTTTGCTTGACATATTTAAGGAAAAGCAGCAAAGGAGCGCGGAAGCTGGGACAATCCCTAGTTTTTATAAGAAGGTATGCGGTTCAATTGGCAATGGGGTTGATTAGTGGAATGGTATTTGAACTTGGCTTGCAATTCTGGCCGGTATTTTGATTGACTGGTGTACTGATTTTCAGTTTTCCTTTGATGTTTGGCAATGTTGGTTCTTAGAAACCGGAAGAAGGATCAATCAGTCACAGGGTGCAAAGACTGGCTAAGTATCGGTTTCTAAAGGTATGAAATGTGCTTCTGTTGTGCAGTGTAATTTTTGGTTTTCTTAACTTTTGACCATGTAGAACATGATATGAGCTTCCAGTATGACATCATTCCTTCCACTTTTTGCAGAAGCAATCGGATCTTTTACTAAATGCTGATGATTTGGATGCCATGTGGGTATGCTTGAGAGAAAATTGTGTGATTGATGATGCTACTGGTGCAGAGAAGGTTAGCAGGCATTGGCCTTTAAATCTATACTTCACACTATGACTGAGTTGTTCTTCGTTTAGGGTAAACTACTCGCCTCAGCTTTTGGATGCATCTAACACCTTACCTGACCCCTGTTCTTATCATCTGTCAGATGAATTATGAAGATTTTTGTCATATTGCTTCTGTATGCACGGAGCAAATAGGTCCCAAATGTAGAAGGTTTTTCAGCCCATCTAACTTCATGAAATTCGAGAAAGATGAATCAGGAAGAATTGCTATTCTTCCCTTCTATCTATACGTGATGCGCACGGTTAGTATGGCTCTTCTGGTGCCAAGATTTTCAATGCACTGTTTAATATAACTGCAGGAACTTAACTTATAACTCCTGGATGAACTTACATTGAGTGTTTTGATTAGGTTTCACTCACACAAGCTAGAATAGACATGAGTGAGCTTGATGAAGATTCAGACGGCTTCCTTCAACCCCATGTATGCATATATAATATTTTTTTTACAGTTTTAGCTGTCTCAATCTGATATTTCTGTTCCTTCTTCTAGGCTATCGATATAGTGAAATGAACTTTTATGTTAAGAGGTTCAAAAGTTTATCTGATTTATTTGTAGGAAATGGAAGCCTATATCAGAGGTCTCATACCTAATTTAGCACAATTGCGGGATATGCCTGGAGTCTTTGTTCAAATGTACTGTCGCATAGCTGCACATAAATTCTTCTTCTTTTGTGATCCTCACAGGCGAGGCAAGTTTAGAAATAGTTGTTAAAACCATGGAATTCATAGTTTTGTTTGATATCGCCTTTTTATTATTATTTCAGGCTCACAATGTTCTTAACATATTTGTCTTTTGTGTTTATTACTAACTACAGTTTACGATTGGTCGTGTCACAGGGAAAGCTTGCATTAAGAAAGTGCTACTCAGCAACTGCCTGCAGGAGCTAATGGAATTGCACCAGGTAAATGATTCCTTACCTAACATGCAGTGAAAATGTGTAAAGCACATTGCCTTGTACAGTTGTACGCCCTTGAAAGAAAACATTGGTTGCTGATAGTTTATTTTTCTTCTTACAGTCATGCAAAATTAGACTGAATTTATTCCAATTAAGTTCTGATACCTAGTCTGACTTTCAATATAACAGTTGGTGTAGGAAACAAGATTTCCTACAGGTTGGGAATTGGAGAATTTAGCTAGATCAATTAGGGATTGATCTAACTAGGGATTAGAATTGGGGATTTTGAGAACAAGAAGAGGGAAAGGGGGAGGGGGGGGGGGGGGGGGGTGCTGCAGCCGCAGCTTGGAGAAGGAAGGGGGAGGGAGGATACGCAGGAGAGAGAGAGAGAAGAGAGAATTAGGCTTTAGGGTTTTGGTTCTGTTATTGCTTAATCCCAAAATAAGACCCTATTACAGATTATATAACCTGTCTAATTCCTAACTGCTACCCGAATAATAAAACGTAACAATTAACTCCCTGTCTATTCCCCCAAATACCCAAATAATACCCCAATCAATCAAAACCGACTCTAATACAAAATAACCAAAAACTGCAAATAATTGTGTTTCCCACATCCCCTCTTCCTTCGAAAAACAACCTTGTCCCCAAGGTTATTCCGCCAGCTCACTAGGCATCTTCCTCTCCATTTCCATCATCCTCAGCCTCTTCTTCTGCTTCATCTTCCCAGCGCCCAACCAGCATCATCAAATCCGGCTTCGGGCACTGATGACCAATGGTAAACCGGCCATCACAGTTGAAGCACTTGCCCTCCCGCCTCTTTTGCTCAATCTCTGCCGGTGTCAGTCGCACGAATCCCTTCGGTATGGCCCGCGGCCCCACCCTGGCCACCGGAGCTGGTCCTCCACCGCCCGCATTGGCCCCAGTCGAGCCTCCCCCGGGTGCCCCACCTATGCCGCCACTAGCACTGCTGCTTCCTCCTCCTCCGTTTGGCTTTGAGAAGCGGCCAATGGTGCTTCTCCAGCTAGCCAGTTCTTCCTCCTTATGACCTGCAAGACGAAAAGCAGTTTTCACAGAATCGGGCTCAAACACCCTGACTGCCGCTGCTATCTCGGGTTTGAGACCCGCCATGCACAGCCCCACCAAGGTGTCCTCCGAGACTCCCTTGCACTGGTTCCCCAACTTGAAGAACTCCGCACGGTACTCTGCCACCGTGCCGGTCTGCTTCAGCTTTGCCAACTGCTCAGGAGCCCACCCATCTGACTTCCCAAACTGATAACGGAGCTCCTCCTGAAACATTGGCCAGGTGATCAATGTTGCTGCAGCCGCATAGGATCTCTCCATCCACTCCCACCATTGGAGCGCATCGCCCTCCAGATAGAACGATGCCAGGTAGGCCTTCCTCTCCTCCGGAATCGGGTGATTCTTAAACCACCTCTCAACTGCATACAACCAAAGACCTGCATCCTCCTGCCCATTGAATTTTGGAAACTCAATGGTAGGCGGCTTAGCTCGAAAAACTATCCCATCCATTCCCTCATAGTTTGGATACTGGGACCCATACCTGTCATTTCCTGGCGTCCTCCATGGCTGCCCCCACTGAGAGCACTGCATCTGGTTAGGATTCCCATGTCCATAGTCCCCCGGATAGCAACCCGGCTGATTCGGGTATTCCCCTGGGACATGAGGCGCCTCATAATGGCCCTCTCCTCCCCCTGGAACCCTGCTGTCCGCCCTCCGGTTCGGCTGGGCAGTTGGACTCGGTCGATGCCCGGTTCGACCTACCTCGGGTCGACCCATCCCGGTCCGCCAGGGCCCGGTTCGGCTCAACTCGGTCCGATCAGCACTGGTCCGACCAATACCGGTCCGCTCTGGTTCGGTCCTACCCCCTCCTAACCCGTCCGCCTGTCCCGGCCCAATAGGAGCCGACCCGCCCGGCCCCATCTGGTCAGCGGGCTTATTCGGCCCACCAGGCCCCCTCTGGCCCATCTCCTGTTCAGCCCACTGGGCCTGCTGGCCCGCCAAGCTTAGTTGGTCATACTCGGGCCCATATTCCAGATCCAGCCATCCCAGCCCGTTATGGACCCTTGTGTAGTGACCCAGCTGGCCCGGCCCACCATTCATAGGAGGCCCATTTGCGTCATACCCAGCCATCTTAGCCTTTCCTTTGCGGGCCGCAATTTCTTGGGCCGTGGGTGTAGGTAACAGGCCCGAGCCTGAGCCCAGCCCTAATGCAGGCCGGCCAGCCCGGCCCGACCCAGCGTCCGCCGCCCTGCTCCCTTCGGCCCTCTCGACTGGCGCGGTAGCCCGAGCCGCCGACCCCCCCGGGATCGCCCCGCCATCGGGCCCGCTGCTCGCCCCGCCCTCCGTCGCCGCAGCACTCGCCGGCGCCGCCAGCGCCGCCGCCGCGGTCGCCCCGCCTCCAACAGCCGCCTCCGCCGCTCCCAGGCCGCCCCCCCCTTCGTTCGTCATCTCGACCGGTTTCGGCGCCCTCTCTGGTTCGCCTCCCCTTGCCTGCAGCGAGGTGATTGCCCTCATCAGGTCCTCCAGCCTTCGCCGCAGATCATCAGCATCATCCTTCGCTTCAGCCTGCACTCTTGCCAAGCCTTCTTCGAGCCTGGCTAGCGCATCAGAGTGCTCGTGCACCACCTCCTTCACCGCCTCCAGCTCGGTAAGATCTTCCATCACCACCTCGTCGCGATCAACACCGCCCGTTCCGGTGCTCCTCTCGGCTGCCTGCGCCTTCTCCTCCGCCGCCTTCATCGATTTCGTTGTCACCATCGTTGCCTTCCCTGGTTCAAGAGTTCAGATGAACTCACTCTCGAGCCAGGCTCTGATACCAGATGTAGGAAACAAGATTTCCTACAGGTTGGGAATTGGGGAATTTAGCTAGATCAATTAGGGATTGATCTAACTAGGGATTAGAATTAGGGATTTTGAGAACAAGAAGAGGGAAAAAGGGGGGGGGGGGGGTGCTGCAGCCGCAGCTTGGAGAAGGAAGGGGGAGGGAGGATACGCAGGAGAGAGAGAGAGAGAGAAGAGAGAATTAGGCTTTAGGGTTTTGGTTCTGTTATTGCTTAATCCCAAAATAAGACCCTATTACAGATTATATAACCTGTCTAATTCCTAACTGCTACCCGAATAATAAAACGTAACAATTAACTCCCTGTCTATTCCCCCAAATACCCAAATAATACCCCAATCAATCAAAACCGACTCTAATACGAAATAACCAAAAACTGCAAATAATTGTGTTTCCCACAGTTGGTCATAAAAAATTTCATGTTGTTTTCTTACTGTTCGTGATCTACTTCAGGAAACTGAAGAGGAAGTTACTGACACTGAGCAAGCTGAAAACTGGTTCTCTCTGACATCTGCACAGCGCATATGTGGTAAATATAATTTCTTCAAGGAACTCCCCTCATGATTTATGTTAATTTTATATTTGATACATGAGTTGTGACTTACAGTATTGTTCCATCTTTTCCCACCCTCGTTATGTCATTGTTTGTTAGTTATTATCCTTTTGAAGCTGACACAGGTTAAAGAACCTAGTAAAAAAGCTATGATATGAAGTGATAATAGTCTGTAATATGGATTAAGAAAATTTCTTATGACTTGAGAACTATTTGATTCGACCCAGCAGCATGTGGTTCTCCTAATTTATCTATGGACTGTGGTATCTAAGTAGATTCCAACTGCCTTGTAGATATGTTCCTGGACCTCGATAAAGATAGAAATGGAACTTTGAGTAAGCAAGAGCTACGAGAATATGCGGATGGGACATTGACAGAAATCTTCATTGAAAGAGGTATTACTATTTGCTATGTTACCTATACTTGGGCTTGGATCCTCTCGTCTCATTAGGTCAAGATGTTTGCCTCATGTTAATCTTAACACTTTGGATGATTGCATGATCCAATCCTATGGTATAGTCTATGATGGTTGTTGAACTTGGACAATTCAGATTGTCTCCCCAGGGTTCCCTACTTACCAAGAACTTCTGTGTAATTCATCTTTAAAGGAAGTCACTGTCTTTTCACTTTTTCGTCAGCTTGATTCTCAATCTTTATCTTTCTTCTTTGTAGTATTTGATGAACATGTCCGCCGTGGCAAGAGTGGAGCGGGAAATGCACGCGAGATGGATTTCGAAAGTTTCCTCGACTTTGTTCTGGCGCTGGAGAACAAAGACACTCCTGAAGGGTTGACCTATATGTTCCGCTGTCTTGATCTTCAGGGAAGGGGATTTCTTACAACGGCTGATATTCACTCCCTTTTCAGGTGAATGCTTTCAATCATTTATAAATATCTGACCCGAAACTGCTAATTTTTGTATGGAAGCAAAGAAGGGGAGCATCATTGAGTTAGGCTGCCACCTGATACAGTCTTCCTAGAGTAAATCTGTTGTTTCCTGCTTGTAGTGCTTGAGCAAGCTCTGCAAGTCTCATATATCCAGAGACATAAATCCACAATTCTTGGGTTAAAAAGGAGCTTTTATTATTCCCTGCTTGTCATGTTGCAGGCTTTTGCTTGTAGTGCATGAGCAGAACCTCTGCAGTCTCATGTCATAAGTCAGGTTTCCTAAGTTCATTGTTTAAATTTCAATTTGCTTACATTCGTGGTGAATCTGGCTGATTATGAAACAGAGACGTGCACCACAAATGGACAGAGGGCGGGAACTACGAGCTGTGTATCGAAGACGTGAGAGACGAGATCTGGGACATGGTGAAGCCAGCCGACGAATTGAGGATCACCCTGACCGATCTGCTCGCCTGTAAACAGGGTGGAACCGTGGCCAGCATGCTCATAGACGTACGAGGTTTCTGGGCTCACGATAACAGGGAGAATCTCCTTCAGGAAGAGGAAGAACCGGAAGAAGAATAGCCCTTCCAAGTTCCAACCATGCCGAAAAAAGAAGATATTAGACGAAACACCACGCCAGGGACGCCGCCAGTGTCAACTAGATTTCCTGTTCGTTTTCTAACCAAGATCACTTCCGTCCGGGCTCTTCTGATCCAATTCTGTGATCTTTTGTTCTGTATCTGTATAACGTAATCTAGAATGTCATTGATGTGTAAAGAGTGGCTTTGATATTGAAAATAAATTGAAAGCTGTTTCCCCCCCTAAATTGAAAATAAGGACAAATGGAATTTGTTGCCAGATGCCTGCATCAGAACAGCAAACCCACAAGCAAAGAATTTTCCTTTCTAGTAATCCCCAAGAGTAACTGAACAGAAAGTCGGAAAGACTAGTGTAGTAATCAGAGACGAGTAAGCGCGTCACCCTGCGTGCTTCTGAAACAGAACAAACCTAAAGAGCAAAGAAACGCACTTCTCGGTGACCCAGAAAGCAAAAATCACAGCAGCCAAATGGAAATGGCTCTCGTCGCACCAGTACTGATATATATATACTCCCAACCCAAACATTTCCCTTATGATCCACTTTCTCACCACTCCACCAAAAACAACACAAACACTTTCTGAAAACTAACAATGGCTGCTGCAACAAGAACCACAGCACTGAGCATAGCCATTGTGTTGCTCACCATGCAGCAGCTTCTATGGGCCGGTGGATCCACGGCCCAGTCGCCGGACTGCTCGGACGCGCTCACCGGCCTGATCCCCTGCCTCGGTTACATCACCGGCGGCTCCTCGGCTCCGGCAACGACCTGCTGCATCCAGCTGGAAAAAGCTGTTCGCCTGTTGCCCGTATGCTTGTGCCAGGTTCTCAACAGCGGTGGAGCTTCAGTTGGCCTCCCTGGCTTCAACCGGACGCGAGCTCTGGGGTTGCCTGCTGCTTGTAACGTCCAGACTCCGCCCGTGAGCCGCTGCAATGGTGAGAAACCGAGCTTCAAAATGCATTCAAAATCATAATTCTACGTAGATACACACAAGAGTGATCTGGAACTGCGCGTCGTTTTAAGCTTTAAAGCGTAGATTTTTTTTTTACTATAATTGTAGGCGAAAAGCGCAATTCTACCCATTTCCTGATTATCTAAAAGAGTAAAAACATAAAATTTTTAAGTTTTAAATCGCGAGCGATTTTGACTCACACCCCGGAAAAGATTTGGGTTGCTAACTTTGAACGGTGACATTCTACTACCTGCAGCTACTTCTCCAAGTGCTTCCCCTGAGGGAAGCCCAGTAGCAGAGGCTCCTATTTCTCCAGGTAGGCAGTGATACTTTTGTTTTCCTTTTCCCCCAATTTTCTCTGCAGAAAGAAACTTCTTTTGATCTTTACCCAGTATTCTCTCGGCTGACTACTCTTTTTCTTCCTCTGGGAATGGAATTGTTTGCACAAATGACCAGGAGGTGTGCCAGGAAGTGATGACAGCTCAGATGGGAGCTCAATCACGGCGTCAACGTCTATGCTGCTCGTCTTCTTCTTCTTCTTCGCCATGGCAGCCTCGTACTGTTCCTCTGCCTCGATGGGATACTGATGCTTTCCCCTGATCAGAGAGATTGAAGCCATCAACTGTGTTATCGTATAACGTATGCTTAGGATTGAATAATTGAGTAACTGTACTGAGGAGTGTGTGTGTGAGTTATCTGTGTTTGTAAATCGTGTATTGAGGTTACAAAATGTTCCCATATTTGCAATGAGAAGGCTTATTCCAGCAATCAATGTAGTGAAAATCGCGCTTTAAAACTTAAAAATTTACGGTTTTACGGTTCTAGGTCACCAAAACGCTTTCGTTTCTATGTAAAAACTTTAGTGTATAAAATCAGAATAAATTGCGCTTTAAAACTTAAAAATTTACGCTTTTACGCTTCTAATTGACTAAAACGCTTTATGTTTTTACGTTTTTACTTCACTGAATGAGTATTCTTTTCATGAAATTAATTATAAAAAGTATATTTTAAAAATATATCACCGACAATATGATACATTTAAGGTTAAAAGATACATACCGGATACTTTGATGCATTCTGAACTTCAATAAAGAATTCTAATTCACCGTCTAGGCTCTTCTCAAATTCATTAGCATGGAGGGGAAGATGACTTCTTGATAAGATTTATGTTTAAAAACTTATTATTAAGAGGCTATAAGTTGCTCTACTTTAGACATGAATTGCAGGTATTTATTAACTTATCTAAATTTTGCGCACTCATATTTTTCAATTTATATGTCGTACTTAACATATTTTTAGTTCTTTTACAGTATGCGTAAAAAACTTACGCTTTTACGCTTTAATTCTACGCTTTACGATTTTACCACTTTTCCGCTTCTAGGTAAAATCACGCTTTTGACTGCATTGCCTGTGATGATTGTGTATTTCTACTCGCCACCATTAGCATATACTACTGATTGATCAAGCTAATTACCACAAGAAGCAACCGTGCCAAAGAAGGGAAAACTACAGATACAGGGGAAACAGGGGAGAGATTGGATTGGATTCATGGATTTGGATCCTAATTGCCAACTCTAGGAGAGAGTAAAGAACCCAACCTCATGCAATGCAGCCAAGTGATTGCCATTGGAGGAGATGGATAAACACGCGACGGCAAGCTGTAATTTGATGACAAATTCACATGACATCTTGATACCGCTTACAATATTTTACTAAACTGACAGCAAGGAGTAAAGTCGCTGCATCAAAGATCGTGGCCTCGCCTCTCTAAGATCACGGTCGCGAACATCGACCCTTCAGCCATGAACTTGCCCGCGTCCCCAAACTAGGGGTGTTCAAATGGTTACCATGGTTATAACCAAACCAAATAAGGCTAAATTCCATTAACCATGGAATTCAACATCATAACCAAACCGTCCAAACTAATACAACAACCAAATTAACCAAACTAAAGTTTAATCGGTTTGGTTAATTGGTTAACCAGATTAACCAATATAAAATTACATTATCATTGACGATGGAAATTTTCTGGTTAATGCTACAATTCGCAATTTATATATTGAATAAAACATAACAATCAACACGTAGTTATAGTTGACCCTTAACAAAAATACATGCAACTAAGACAATTATCTTACGATTAGTATAGAAGTATTCACCTAACAAAAAATTATGACAAAGGTATGGGTTAATGAATTGTTGTGTTTGTGTAAATTGACTTAGTCTCTTAGCAATTATCATAGGCTGGAAATGACCTTCCTTTCAAGTTTTCATTCATCATAATGTATGAAATTTATCTAAATTAGGCGTCCATATGTTGTGGTCTAGACTTTACATATACAAATATACACTATATGAGCAATATTGAGCTTTATATTTTATGAATCTAAAAGGGATGAACGTTAACTCTTGAATGGTTATGCTATGCAAAGTATTATGTGTATATAATATATGTTAGATATATGACTAATTACTTAACTGGTTAATTTGGTTTGACTGGTTGGGAGTGTCTGAAACCGAACCAAACCACCTAAACCAAACAAGCTAAAAACTTTAACCAAACCAAACCAATTATCCAAATTAACCAAACCAAATTATCCAAATAGTACCGGTTGAAACGGTTACCACGGTAACCAAACCGTTTGAACACCCCTACCCCAAACCTCTATAATAGGGGTCTCTTCTCCTTGAGTAGAGTTTCTATTTGTAGATTTCTTGTTCTAGAGTGAGGTTAGAGAGAGAAGTAGAAGTTTGGAGAAGAAGAGGAGAAAAAGAAGTGGAGAAGAGGTTTGGAGGAGGATTTCCGGCACTTGAAGACCCTTCTTCATGATTTCTTCCCACCTTTTCATATCTTTTCTCCCCCTCTTCATGAGGTAATCCCTCAAGGTACTTTGGGGCTTAGCCCCCTAAACGCTAATCTAGGGTTTGATATGTGAGGCTAGATTTGTGAATGATTATGAACCTAATTTATTACCTATATATATTTGATGATTGTCTTTCTATATATCAAGTAGAATGAGATTGTTTGTATCCCATTTGCCTAGTTGCAACCTAGGTGGTAGGTGATTATTTATTCTCTTCCTTGTGATTTATGGATGAATTGAATTTTCCTAGAGTTTTTATGCTTCATCTATGATGAATTATGCTTGGGTTCCAATTCATTTCACAGTGGCGTACTACTTAGGAGTGCATGAATTAGAGTGGATTTGAGCGCCTTGGCATGTTAGGAATAGATGAATGATCTAGGAGTTTAGTATGTCGAGTGAGTGACCATCGTCTCGATGGACTAATGTGTGGATGTGTAGAACCCATTTAGAGGAGATATGTTTTATCTCTACAATGTGACGCTGAGGTAACATTGGGCTAGTGGATCGATGTAGGAATGAGATTGGTTGCATGCCCATTGAGCCAATCTCTAGATTAGAAATCTCCTCACCTCAATCACCATGGATAATCATTATGTCCTTTGCATGTTATCTGTAGCAGTTAGGGTGAGGGAGGCACCCCAAGTACCTCTTTCTTCCTATCGTTCTCTAGTCTATTAATTGCCAACTGCCCACCTGCTAAGTAATAGGTCGACTAGATTAGAACCGAGCTAAGTAGCCTAGGATTCCGTGACCTTTAAAATACGTCCTCGGTCAACACTATATACTTCGTCGATCTAGGGTGAACTTGTCCGAGATTGGGTAGTTATTATTGTCGACAGTCGAGTTCACAAGCTCGATGCAGCGACTATATCAAGTTTTTGGTGTTGTTGCCGGGGACCACGATAACTAGTTGAAGGAGTTAGGTTGTTAGTTTATTCTTACTTATTTGTTTATATTAGCAGTAGTAGTATTTCGTAGTAGTATGACACTTTAGTATCTTTCTTTTGTTTAACTTTAGCGGTTTTTGTGTGTTTTCTTTTGGTTTTGTGTTTCATTTGAGTTTGATTACCCACCCTTCTCCACGAAAGGTGGTTTTGTTTGTTTGATTTTGTTTTTGTGTTCGTAGTAGTTGAAACATGGATCCCTATGACATAAATCAAGTGTGGAGGTATCAATCATCCAATAACCCATTGAATGATGTTTCCTTGGGACTTCAAGGAGGAATGAAGACCAAGGAACCCGGTTTCAAGAATGGGATCGGGGGAGGGGAAAGGGAGAGAGAGGGCGATGGGGTTGGGGCGGGGAGATAATGAGGAGGGGAGAGTGAGTGTGTGAGAGAGGGCGGCAGGGGAGGGTATACAATTTTGAATGGTCTAGAACGAAAATCCTTCCTTCGGTAAGATGAAAATCCTTTCCAACACAATTTGGAACAAATGGGTTTATTGATATTAGGGCTAATACCACTACAACACCTGAACTATTCGGAAAATGCCACTAGTGTCCTATTGTTTCCAATATTCCATTCATGTCCTGAACTATGATACTTTATGTCATTTATATCCTGTCAATTTCGTTGACCGTTAAAGATAACGGTTGACCAAACGGTGATCAACGCAAAGTTGACTTTTGTTGATGTGGCAAAAAAGGTGGCTGCCACATAGATGCCACGTCACTGATCTCATATTTTTAAATTCAAATTAAATAAAAAATTGAGTTAAAATTAAAAAATTTGTAAATTCAATTATATTATTAAGTCAAAATTTTAAAACAAAATAATTAAAAATCCCATTATTCTTCTTCCCTACCGATTCACCCTCTCTTTCTCTAAAAAATCTCCAAGACGATTCCGATTTCCAAGCAATGAAGTCTCTGCATCATCTCCTTCTTCCTCTAATCCGACCCAGCAATGAAGACGATTTCCATTTCCATTTTCCAAGCAATGAAGCCGCCACATCATCTCCTTCTTCCCCCAATCCGACCCGGCAATGAAGACGATTCTGATTTCCCAGTTCTCATCAATGGCGAGATTCAGGGTCTCCCAGCTCCACTTCAATGGCAGATCTGACTATGTCGCAATTGTGCTCCAGTGACAATCTCCGATTTCTTCGTTAGATGAACTCTGTTCTTTGCCCGCCGCCTCCAAATCTGAAGTCGATTTGCTTCCCATTATTCTCAGCAGATCGCCTACAAGGCCACCATCGAGAACGAAGATTGATAATGAAAAGAATCAAGAGGAATCCCCTCGAATTTATGGGGCACATAGAGAAAAAGAGAAACAGATCGATTGATGCACAGATAACCGGCGAGCTTGACGTCGTTCTCCTCTCTTGCAGAAGTGTAGAGAGCCCGTATGTTCGCCAATCCGGCAGATCTGGGTCCTACGCTCTGCGGCGGAGGAAGAACGACGTCAAGCTCTCCGGTTCTGTTTCTGCAACTGTAACATCCCGGATCGAACGAAATAAAATATAATAAATTTAAAATGTAAAAATAGATTTCCTAGACAAATTTACAACAGAGATTCAATTTCGTGGAATTCACATCATTGACGGGAAAAGATGTCACGGGAAACAATAATAATAATCATAGTAATTGATTATTATAAGTGATTCTTGTAAACACATATGCTTTAAAATAAAATAAAATAAATAAATGTAAAAAATGACTACAGCAGGATTTGAAACATAAACCTGATGCTAATTAGCTAATAAACCAACAGCTTAGCCGCTGGACTACACTCTATTTCGTGTACAAAGACTAAACCAGCTTTTTTATAACTTGTTTTGACGGCCATGCTGATTGAGGCAACCAGCCTTAGTCACACGTCGTAGTTTCAATAGAAGAGGCAGCAGCCTCCACGTTTCTAAGCTGTGTCGGGCTTCAGATAGAGACGTTCAAGCGG